TGGTTGCTTCCTTCAACGGAAGTCCCCCCTCCTCACTGCAATCCCCCTGCAACATTCCCAGGTCAAATCTGCCCCGCTCCCTGCTCCGTCACACATGCTGAGGCCGGCCTGCGGGCCATGGTGGGGCACACGGATGCTTTGTTGACACAAGGGAAGCGCATTGGTCACAGAGCCCCAGGACCGGTGCTATGGCCCCAGCTTTGGAACAGTCTCTGGGAGCCCGTCAGTGGGCCAGGCCCCCGGGGGTCCCACTCTTCCTTCCCCCAGGGCGGGTCCCTCGGCTTCCCTGTCTCCTTCGCTGGACGCTGGGCCTGCGGGCCCTTGCTGCACCCGTGAGCACCAGGCAGCGCGTTCAGCTGGGCAGACCCCCAGGGAGACGTGTAGAGGCTTAGGGAGCCAGGCAGCTCCTCTGCCAGTGGCTGCAGGGACACTCAGCCAGCCTGGCCGACAGGCGGGTTTATTAGGTTTATTAGTTGACTGGACACAGCACAGGAAGTCCTTGGTTAGCCCAGAGAAAAGGAAGTGACCGCCTAGTCCATCCTGCTCAGCACGGAGCCCAACCCCCGTCCCTCTGACCTCTCTTTGTCCCAGTTCAGGTGCCCCGACTGCTTCCCATAGCCACCACTTAACTCCCACCTCACCCCCAGGCCTTTGTTCCCCAGCCGGGGGGATGCGGCTCAGCCCCCCTTGGAGAGGCGGGACGTCCATGTCTCTAGGGGTCCGTGTCCAGATGATTGGATTTGCCATTGTCTTCTCCAGGGCGCCTGATCTTTGACCTAAGGCCCCAGAGATCTGGACACCCGTGTCTCTGAGCCTCCAACCCTCTCTACCCCCTGGGTAACCCTGCAGCATGCAGGGAAACTGAGGCAAACATAGCCATCAGAAAACATTCAAATTTTGTCACCAGGAGGTATAGGGTGGGGAGATTGGTGGGGGGACGGAGAGGGGGTTGACAGCACCCACAGATTCACTCTCTCTACACACCAATGTAACAACCTTTGTACAAAATGTGCCTTGTGAGGGGTCATTTGAAAACGAATAACTCGCTGGTCAGTAACAGTCTGGGGAAAGGTGCGTAGCACCATTACCTGGCCCGTCAGGAATCCCCCCGGAGGACGTTGCTAGCACACGTTCAAACCCAGCCGGCCAACACGTCTGTCCTCAGTACAGGACTGTGGGGTTCCCTCCGTTTACGTGGCAGCAGGACCCAGGGCCAGCAGGGGTGGAGCTGGCAGGACACAGACCAAGCTGCGGTTTAGCAAACACAAGTGGGGGAAGAAGGAGCAGGGAGTGTCCAGGGGCTACACGTTGCTTTGCGGCGTAACCGTCAGGAGATGCCGCCTCAAAGGCTCTGTGGCCTCCAAAAGCGAGGGGCAGAGAACGCCAAGTTCCCGCTTTCGCTAAGATGCCAAAGGCCTGGCACCTTTGGGCCGCAGGGCGCAGTCCTGCCCCAGGAGCGGGTCAGTCCCCCCACAGCTGGGGAGGTGGGACAGCTGGGGGGACTGACCTGGCCCTTGCTAGACTAAGTTGTAGCCGTTTAGCTGTGAGGTTTCAGTGTTATCGGCTGGTCACCACCGCTGTTAATCTAACCCCGCAGTGCTGTGCTGGGCGCTGGCACTGCCTGGGGGCGCCCATTAACACAGCACACTGGGGAACAGGGACTCTGTCCAGGAGCAGGGACCCTTGAGCACTGAACTGGCCTGGGGCGGCTGCGGTGTGTG